ACGATCACTTCTGCTTCATGCCTCCGGAGTAGTGCCACCATGGAGGACGGAATTAAAAAGCCTCTGAAGGACTTCAAGTACCGGTTTTCCCGGTAAAATTAACCCTTTTGGTGATAAAATAAGGGATGAAATATTTAATAACTAATTACATTTGGATTGTAAAATTCATTAGTTGACTCAAAAAGGTAAAAAAAGTAAAAATCGACTTCAAGGACTGGAAAGAATAAAAAAGTTTAACATTCTGACTAATTTCAAAGATAAATTGACATGATTGTACTCTATGTCTTTGAACTGACATCAGAACCAGAATATGACATAATAATTAATTTAAGTTTTTTGTTGTCGAAACTTTATTTTATAAAAAGCTCTTTTTGATAATTTTAACACTCACTGGTTGTACACTCTTGTTTTCAAGTTTTTTGATAGCTACTTGTAGTTATGGCGAGGAGATTTATCGTAATCTTTCGAACGCTGCCTGGGTTAGTTGCATCCATCGATTTTCCAGCATAGGTGTAAATGGAAATTACACACGAAGAATAACCTCTATATAACGGAAGTAACAGACACAGCTCAACGGATCAGTAAGATACAATGGCAGTAGACCGTCCAATAGAGCTCAAAGAACTGACAATTGATGGGAATGTCAGATTCTTGAGTGGCAGCCTAGTACCGGAAATCGAAGTGGAGGGCAATTAAGGCATAGTCCCGCATTCATGGAAGACAACTTTTGTGCACCCGATCCCTAAAAAAGGTAACCGCTCTATCCATCCAACTACAGGCCTATCGCCATCATCTCCTTGTTCTTCAAAATAATTGAGTCCATTATTAACAGTCAGCTCATGCGGAACATTGAGGGGCAACAGCTGATTAGTGACTGCCATTACGGTTTCTGAATTTTCATTTCGGAGTTGCTGAGCTGGTAATCTTCTTGTTTATCTAATGCACTGACAGGCGTAGGTAATCGTATTGCCTTGAAACTGAGGAGATACGACAAAGGGGTTCTTTTTAAAGGTTAACGCGCAAACTTGTGTCTTCTGAGGGTTAAACTGGATTAATTGTGCCTCAAATCCGAGACTTTGTTCAGCAAAGACTCAACTACAGACACAAGTTGTCCCGGTACTCGGAGATGTTTTTCCGAGAAATTTTGGCACGGCCGGTATACGGAGCATCACCAATGCTGTCATCTGCATAGCAATGAATGTTACAGGTTTGCAACATATAATCGATATTCAGAAAAAACAGCGTTGGTAATAGCACGCAGGCTTGTGGAACACCAGCATAAATAGGCTTGTAATTGCAGCATGCACCGTCTACAACGACCTTGATGCTCCAATATGGATGAAATCTGGTGATCCAATTGCACAATTTCACGGGAATCCCGTAGGAAGGGAGCGTCGAAATAAGCGCTTTGTGCCAAACCCGATTAAAGGCCTTCGCAATGTCCAATTGAACGGCCAAAGCTTCCCCCTTGGACCCAATAAATAATGCTACCGCCCATCTAATATATATATATATATATATATATATATATATATATAGGAGGAGAGTAGGAGTACCGGAAAAGACGCGTTAAGAACGGTGCCAACTCGTCCACTCGCTCACACGTCCTCAGCACATTTGGGGGGACTCCGTCAGGCCCACTCTACTTGTAGATGTTCAGGGAGAGGAGTGCTTTACGAACCGAGCACTGTGTGAACTGCATTTCCGGCATGGAGCAGTCACACCGCGGGATAATCAGCGGCGTACTCCCCTCGTTATTTAGTCGAGTTGGACGCAAAGAAAGAGCCTAGCAGATCGGCTTTCTCCTTTGCGGCATGGGCCAGTGAGTAGTCCTTCCTGTGCAAAGATGGAAGAGATGACTGACCGAAATTCCCCTTGACAGCCTTGGCAAGAGACCAGAATGCACGGGTTTCAGAGGGAAGGCAAACTAGTTTCTCGCCAATTCTGCCTATGTGCTCTTTCCATGCCTCGGCAATGACTCTTTGGAAGCGGAATTACACTTCTTTTTCAGAGCGCTGGTGCTTACATCCCGGGACGTTGATGCGTCAGCCCGGGCTTGGTAACACTCCTGCTCATACCATGATGCTATTTTAGAGGAGCGACCAAAACATAGCTGAGATTTGCTTCCGATGGGCACCACAGAAGGAATAAAAAGTTCCATACCCTGAAGTACCACATCAGCGACAGAATCAGCAACAACGTTGGGATCGTCCAGAGAAAAGCAAACCCGCCTCCAAGGGTAGGATACGACACGTGCGATTTCAGCGTGAGTGGCACCACACTCCGGACAAGACATTGGTCCGTAGAGTCTAAAGGGGCGTCGACGGAAATCTGATATCCTTCCAGATGAGAGGTCAGTAGAAGGTCTAATATGAAAGGTATATAGTCCTCCACATCTGAAATCCGCGTAGGCGAAGTAACCAGTTGTGTCAGATCATATACCAAGGCAAAATCATGAACAGATCTCCCCACATGATCGGTTAAACGTGACCAAGCCACTCGACGTGGTGCATGTTAAAATCGCTGAGGATCACAATGACGTGAAAGAAGTTTATCATCGTTTATATATATAGCGGGTCAGTACTTCAAACGCGTAATATTTAAAAATGTGCCAGAATTAAAGCTAGTAATGGCTTTGAGGGGTCACTGGAAAGCATACCGTATAAAGGTCAGGTGTTCTTATTTCTTGAAAAGATAAAATTTTATCTCCGGTCACGCGATATAAATGACGCTAGACTTTTTAATATTGGTCTCACGATTTCCCCAAAAATGACTTGTGATGGAGACGTTAAGCGACTACTCGATGCGGTTTTCAGCTGAACATGTGGCAACTCCGAATTTTTAGTGAATAACACGTGTAACTCTGATAAAATACGTTTTGCACTGACATAGTTCGCACCATTATCTGAGTACACTCTACCTGTTGGGCCATGGCGAGAATAAATTCTTTTAAATACACCCATTAAGCTAGCCGTGCTTAGATCACTCGCAAGCTCTATGTGTACAGCGCGACTAGCCAAACATACTAAAATACAAACATACACCTTCGTAGATCTTACATCCGGTCCATGAGCAAGCGTAACCTTAAACGGGCCAGCAAAACCGTTTGCATAAAGGGTTTAGCGGATTGTGTTACACGACAAGACCTATGGTCCGCCATTTCTGAGAATAACGGCCTAGTATGAACTCGAAAACAACAAATAAATTTATGTACCCGATTGCGAATTGAGTTGCGAGGGGAAAGAATCCTGTAGTTCTGACGGAAAATAGAGATAAATAGTTTTGGGGCCAGAATGACAATTCAATTTTTGCTGATAATCAACTAAGTAAATAATTTAAAATATGATCCTTACGCTGTAAAACAATAGAGTGTCGTTGAGCGACACTTAAATGCGAGTTCCATAAACAACCACTCACTTTATTAATCCCATTGCGTAAAAATGGTTTTAGGCGTTGAAAAGTGCAACTACAAACCTTGCCTCATTACAACTTTGCAATCACATCGGCAAAGTGTGAACGTTGAAGTTCACGAAACGTTAATAATTTTGCATGGTCATAATCAGCTGCAGTGATGTAATGACGTAGTGATGAAAGCTTTACAAATTGGCAAATGTAAATTACGCTACGCAATTATTTCGGGGACTTCGGATTCAGATGACAATATCTTTTATGACATCCCACTTCTGACACAAATTTTTTAGGAGGTCGATCCCGATTGCCTTAAAAAACACTAAGTAACCCTAAAGGTTTATTAAAAAAATTCATACATAAAATTGATAAACTGCTTGACTTTCGAACTTTAATACTTCTCGAAATTTATATCCAATCTACCCAGGGCTATGCCTAACTGATAACTAAACTGGAATTAAAATAAAAATAAAAAATAAAAACAATGCATTTACTGACTATGAAGGAAAAGTACTGTAGATTAAATAAATGCTTAGTAAGATCGAACTGAATCGTAAAAAGGGATATAACGGTACGAATTAGACGTACGTAAGTGTGAGCAACCGGACTTGTAATCGGTTGAACGTAATTATTAGCAGAAAATGTGTATTTTTCAAATAAACTATGTGTACTAATAAAAGTGTATTTGTACTAATAAATTGTGTGCACAGACCTTCTTATAATTGTAATAGATCTTAAGTTACTCAAAAACAATGCTACAAATGTTTAAATTTTGTATTGGTTTTGTAGATAGAATATTCTATCTACGATTATGTAGTACAATTTTTCATATATTAATACATGATTATAAGATAATTCGCTCTATTTTTATAATAAAAAGAATACTAACTCTGCTTTAACTTTAACTTTTCTTTTTTTTCTCTTTTACAAATACTTACGGGAAGAAATAAAAATAGTAATCTTTTTATTCTTTAACACGTTCGCTGCGGCACAAGGCTTATAGGCCTGATACATGAACTTGCGGTCGGTGCGGAGCGAAAATACAGCGTTCTCCCTCTGGTGCGAACGCAGTAACTTAAAGATTTCTCTATAAGTGATAAAGACAAGTATATATTTAAGACCGTCTTTTCAATGGCTATTCATTTAAATAATAATATTTGTATCAGGCCTATCGACCTTATACCGCACTGGAGAGTAAAAATTGATATTCAGTGCGGATACAAGGCCCATAGGCCTTATGGGAAGTACAATGCCTATCTGCCTAATACCGCACTGATTGAAGAGTCAAAATTAATTAGTGTTGTGTTGACAGCTTTTACAAATGCATGTGCGTACGATTCATAAAAAATTCATCGAGTCAATAAACGTTGTCGAAAAATGCTCGAGCTGTCTTTTCAAAATGCTCAAGAAGTGGTGGACCAAAATAACAGTGCCAGTTTACAAGAAAAAAAAAACAAATTCAAATCCTTCAGGATGTTATTGTTAAGCCAGCTTCTACAAGCAGTGAAACTACAACTTTTCAAGAACCTCGCTGCAGTTCATCTTTTGCTTTTCAAGAACCTAGCTTCAGTTCAACTTTACACGATAGCTCAATGCGGGTAAGTCCTCAAGTTAGAAAGACTTATTTAGACTTTACGCCTAAAATAAAGAAAATACAAAAATCAGAAAACGATGGTTATGTTAGTCCTAGTACTGGCAATACTCTTCATGTACTGGAAAACGCTGAATACGGATTTGCAACTCCTATCCGCAAATATTATAATTTACGAAAAGAAACCCCAGTAACTCCGAACGTATCAAATCTTACAAGCAGGACTAGTTCTAATAGTGACATTTCATGTGCAAAATCCTTATTATGCCCACTATCCAACGAGGAAATCTGTACAATATATAACACCCAAACGCAGAATAATCAAAGTTCATTGACAAATTTGAATATTTCTACAATTTATGGTAAAGATTTAAATACAGATGCATCTAATAACAATTATACTCCCAACCCTTCCGAGAAAATCTGTGCAATATATGACACTCAAACGCAAAATGAACAAAGTTCATTAACATATTTGAATATTCCTGCAAATTCTGCTAAAGATTTTGAACCCGATTCATCTGATGATAGTTATGCTCCCAACTCGTCTGACCTAGAAACTGATTCTTCTTACTCCGACGATAGTGATAGTGATGATAGCGTAATAACTTACTATGAAAACAGTTCTGAAACCGAATTAGTTCAAATACTTGAAAATACTCAATGTACAGAAAACAATAATTTTGACGAGTGGGAAGACATTAACGATACAAAACCTGATTTCGATGAATTCACAGATAATTGTAGACCAAACATTCCGGATAATACTATAACGCCAGCAGATTTTTACAGTCTATTTGTAACGGATGAAATTATTGAGCAAATGGTAATAAACACAAACAATTACGCAGAAGATCTTATTAGTAATCTAAGTAATCTTAAGCCTAAATCACGCTTGCGAGCCTGGACTCCTACAACTCCAGAGGAGATGAAAAAATTTTTAGGAGTGCTACTGGCGATGGGTCTTGTAAGAATACCACGTTTAAATGATTACTGGTCGAAAAGAAACATCTACAATAATAAATACATTAGTTCAGTTATGAAAAGAGATCGATTAACGAAAATCATCTATAACAGATAACAGTTAATAATAAAATAAAGTTGATCTCGATATTTCTGTACTTATGTTATTTCCCATCACTAAAATTATCCCAATTATACCATTACCCAGGTGCGGTAATGGGTCGATAAGCCTTATGTTTGTTTTTCTGTATATTTTCTAAATTAGCCATCGGAGCAATTTGCGACGCTTGTATAAGATAGGCTTACATTTTCTCAATAACCTAGTTAAAAAAATATTCAATATCAAAAGTTTTCGCAGAGTTATTAGAGTTTGAAGTGACCAATATCTTACCAGGTTTATTGACCCATTGACGCACCGGTGAAAAGTTTAGGTTTAAGGCCTATAGACCTGGTAACGCACTGGGGGGAATAATGTCTAAAGTAGTTGCCGCAGCGAACGTGTTAAATTAATAATTACAATCTTCTCTTGCAATTAAATATTTTCAATATTTTTCCTGCATTATATAACGTATTTTATAGCTTGGTCACTAAATGTATTATTCATAGCAGCTGATACACGATATCGTGCGGGGTAACTCTGAGCTTAAGACTTTAAAATTAACCGATGGATTTGGGTGGGGTTTCACTGTATTTTAGGATTTTCTCATGGACAGTTTTTACATTCATTCGTGCAAAAAAATAACACTACATTGCTCAATTGCTCCCGTTCGGAGCGGTGAAAAATCGCTAGTTATTTCATTCAATAAATTTAACCCGACATAAACTGACTTTTATTGCAGTAAATATAAGTCCCTCTTATTTATTGCCTCACAACTTAGTAATTTACTATTATTGTGAATGTGGTCCCTTAAGTATTTTTACGTGAACGTGTGTTTTTTGAAACTGTCTGTCTATGCTTACTAGGTTTTTCTAATAAGTTTAATCAATAATATACAAGGAATAAGTACTTACTAGAATTACTTATTAACGAATTTTCCTTACAGAAGTGGTTTTTAATAAGTCTAGATTTATTTACTTATTTCATGACATAAATGTAGAATATCTCGCACGGCCGTGCTTTTGTATCAAAATATGTAACATTTGTATTTTAGATTATTTAAGATAACTGCACTCGAAATAGTTTTTTTTTAAATTTTTTATGGGTGTTCGCGGCGTTCACCCACTCGTTCCGTTCGCGTCCGTTCACGTTCCCAGCGCCATCTGACGCAAAAAGTCCGTCGATCTTGTTTAACTACTCCGCCATATTTATCGTATGATATTTTTTTAGATGCCGTTCGATCGATGATTTCACTTTTTTGCAATCCACACCTATGTGCCCGAACTGATAACATCTGAAAAACTTCTTTTTATAGGAAATCGATAAATGTCTTTTATCTCCACAATTTTAACAACGTAGGAATGCCTTTGTCGCGGTTTCTTGTTGAATATTCGGCTGCGGTACTACATCTCGCTGTCTTATAGTACGTAGGACACTAAATAAGTTTTGAGATACACAAAAAGTATTCTAGATGCTATTAATATTTATTTTAGATCTTTTCAAAATATTCTCCATCGTGCTCTTTACAAAGCTCCATTCGCTTAAACCAACTCTGAAAATACATTTGCCAGTCTTGATCTGACAGGTCGGAAATAGCTTCTTTGTAGGCAGCCACGGATTCTTCGGTGCTAGAAACTTGCCTTTTATTTTTTCTTTGACTCTTAGAAACAAAAAGAAACCACAAGGAGATAAGTCAGGGCTATAGTGTGGGTGACTTAGAGTTTCAATACCAGATTCCTCAATAAATTCTTTTGTTTTAAGGGAGGTATGAGAAGAGGCATTATCGTGATACAGCATGGTTCCTCGAAACTCAGTCTTTGGTCTTCTCTCCCGCACAGCTTGAAAATCTTTAGGTAACGCAACTGTAGTATACCATTCAGAGTTGACTGACCTACAATTTTCTAGCATTTACGTAGACAAATGTCCGCTCCGAAAAAAACTAGCCACGATTTTTTTTGCCGACGTTGCTGTTTTGTCTATAACTGTCCTTCTGAGTAGACCCATACCGATAATTATCTTTATATCATATTATATTGATTGATCAATATCTCGACACCAGTAACGATTTATGAAATATGCCTAGAAGTCCCGTTTTCAAAACGTAGACGCATTTCATGGCACCAATCCACACGTGTCTGTTTTTCGCTTTCGGAGAGCAAACGACAACAAAGCTTCCTCACTCCAAGATGTTGATACAGTATGGTGTAAATAAATGCCCCCCGAACTAATGCCTACAATCTTTACGATCTTCTTACATGTGATTCGTGGGTCTTTTCGCACCAACATTTCAGTATTGCATACATTTTCTGCCGTTACTGCTGTTTGCAGGGCCCGGGTTCTTTGGTCATGTTTAAGGTTAATTTTACCCCTTTTTAATTCAGTAAACCACATTAAAATTGTTGTACGTCATGGAGCTGAGTCCCCTAAAGAAAAATAAAATAAAATAAAATAAATTATAAACTGAATGCTGATTGTAACCGTTGTGAACTTAATGGTTCGGTTAAACTAAATTTGAAACCATAATAGATCGTAGCGCGCAAATTTTTGCGGTTAATATCCATAGTTTTAAATGAAAAGCACAAGAAGCGTTGCAGGAAAATTAATAGAACTTTGTTTATTTTAATGTTGTGCAATTGGCTTATGGAGTTCTATTTTTAAATTAATTTGCTATTGAGAAACATATAACACGGGTGCGTTCCATTTTTAAATTTCGAGCATCTCAAAATTTATTGAGTGACCTACGTATCCGCCTTCTCAGATTTCTTTTCATAGCTTTTATATAATTATTCTGATTCTCCTTGACCACTGAAAAAGTTGTCATGCCGTAAAATTACAAATTGTTAGATTCGTAATCGAATATACCATCTACTATATAGTGAATGGCGACATAGTCTGGGAACTTCGCCCTCTTTCCGAGTTCCTTCATCACCAGCATGTATTGGTGATACGTCTCGTTCTTTTGCATTGTACGCCTGCTCATCATCTCATGTATTTGTTTGGATTCGACTACATCCGGAAGTTCTATTAACAAAACGACTTTAAGCTCATGATGCATCTTAAAAGCTTTTTCTATTCGAAGCCACTTTCACGCCGTGCCAGCTAAACAACGTCTTGCGATTATAAGTCTTTGGTGATCGCGCCACCCGAAAATATTCGCATTATCTTCTAGATATTGCGTCCACCTCGTGGAGAAATGCGTCATAACATCTCTATTGATCTTTGGAATGTCATCCATCAAATTTAATAGATTGCATCTGCCGTCGTCATCTTTGCTCTCCGTCATCGTAATTTTCTTTAATAAATCGTCGTCTCGTCGGTACAATTTGTGTCGTAAGTTTTGTAGGGTTACGGTGGCCAGCGCATGTGACTACGCGGTAATTTTAATATACGTCGTTATCACGTAAGGGTGGAGTCTAAATGAACGATGTAATATTTAAAAAACTCTAATATACTAATATTACAAGGTGTGTTTGTTTGTTTGTCCTTCTTTCACGTCGCAACAGAGCGTCGGCATGGCATGATTTTTTGTATGGGGATAGTTCGGTGGCTGTAGAGTGACATAGTTGTTACCTTTGTTCGTCCTGTACCGTCGTCCGTCTGTAGAATCACGGTGGGCAATAGAATATTTTGCAACATTTTCGTTTTTCTCACCGGAATGAGGCTGTAGAGTGACATAGGCTACTTTTTTTGGAAAACCTTATTTTGGTATGGGGAACTAGTTCGGGTGGATGTGCCTTAGTAATATTACTAAGGCACAATTATCCCCTCATTCCGTTTGGCGTGAAAGAAGGAAAATTTGAATATTTATTTTCCCACACGGGAATGAGATGGTTTTCCGCGGAAAAAAGTAGCCTATGTCACTCTACAGCCTCATTCCTGTGAGAAAATCGAATATGTTGCAAAATTAAATTCAGCTAGGTGGCGCCACCGTGATTCTACAAGACGGACGACGGTACGATGGACGAACACAGAAGGTCGGAATATCTGGATTATTATGTCTTTTAACCAAAATTGAGGTAAAAAATGAATGCATTTGTATTTTTCCACGCAGAACCGGGAAGAGAGCGATAAAAAAACATAAAATTCACCAGCTGATTTTCTTCAAACGTTTTGGTGCATTGTAATTCACAGAATAGGCGATAACCTCGCAGATGATACTAAGTAATCCGTTGATGATCTGCCTACCCCGCAAGGGTTACAGGCATGATTATAAGTATGCATCAGAAATACTATCACCACATGTCACGCTTTCACCCTTACCTATTACTTAACTGTGGTAGAAACAGTTCTTAGTAAGCCTTATTAATAAGCCTTAGTAATATTTATTGAACGGAAATGAATACAGTTCTTATATGTGGTTATGAATGAATCGGTATTACAATAAGAAAAATTGTTCAAAATTATAAGTTCTTATTAACTAACGTATACATAATTTAAATTGATTCCGCTAGATGTCGTTACTAGGTTTTTAAAACGCGGTACCGAAATGTTTCCTGACATGTACTTTACTCCAGCCGTTGAGCCGCGCGTCAACTTATAGTGCATACGGTACCTATACGCTTAAATTGTTTCTATTTCGTAGCTTATTCGACTACCTGCTTTCGATTTCGGTTGTTTGTTGTTTGCTTTGTGATTTGGTTAAGGTTGAATGGATTTATATTGGCTTTCATTTTCGGATTTGTGTATTTTCTTGGAGCGGTTTTCTTGATTTGGTTGGTATTCCTTTATACATATTTAGACTCTGGCTTTGATTTTTGATTTTGTTTATTCAGAATCGTGAATTGGTTCTCGTTGTTTTAAGTTGTTTAACAATATTTCAAAGGAATATTAATAGTATAGATAGTGATACTGTACCTATACTCTTACTTCTTTTTTCGTTGGTTATATTTATATTGACTACCGCTTTCGATTTCGGTTTTCTGCGATTTGTTTTGTGATTTGGTTTAAGTTGATTCGATTTTTTTTGGATATCGTTTTCAGATTCGTGTTGTGTCTTGAATTGGTTTCGTTGTTTTGATTTT